GCATTTTTGTGGTTTCTTTACTTATTATATTGTATAATACCTCAGAATATCAGTGTCATCATTTTAATACCTTGATGAAAGTATAGAAACCTTACCTCTATTGTCTTAGAATACAATTATCTTAAATAATACAATTATTACATTTATAATACAATTGTCTTAAATATTTTCTCTATACAGATTTAGAATCATGTCAGATAGTGGTATAAGTTTTGCTTCAACTGCCAAACATTGAACTGGAGAGAAGAAGTCTATTGTATTACCCATGTTTTTGCTTAACATGTTATTCTTCCTGTCCTCCCTCCTTTTATTCATTCTTCCTTCCTTTTTTCCTTGTGTGTTTCAAGATTTTAAAAATTTCTTTCTCTTTCTCTTAATTGATTTTAAATCATTAACTTTATGTTTAGAGAACTGCCTATAACCTTTTTTTAAGAATAGATCTGGGTTTTTTTTTGTATTCTTTTATTGGTACATTGTAGGTATACAACACAATTACATTTCTCATTGGGAATTGTACCTTTACATAATGCATCTTGGTTCTTATTTTTTCCCCATTCCTAGCCCTCCCTTCATGCCCTCCACCCTTCCCTGTTTACAAAGACTTTATTTCCATTTTTTCCATTTCCCATCATTTTTCCTTTCCCTTCTTTCCTTTCCCTTGCCCCTCCCACTACCCCTACCCCTTTGAACCTTTTCTTCCTATTTTACATTATTGATTATTCATTCTAATCATTGGTACATTTTAGGTATACAATATAATGACATTCATCATTGGAAATTTGCACCTTTACATAGTCTCTCTTGGTTCTTATTTTTCACCCTTGCTCAGCCCTCCCTTCAACCCCTCCAGTCCTCCCTATTTACAAAGATTTTGTTGCTATTTTTCCATTTTCTCATATTAATCCCATTCCCTTCTATCCTTTCCCCTAGCCCTCCCACTTCCTTCTCCTTTGCCCCTTTTCTTCCTATTTCACATTACCTAAGAATAGGTCTGTTGGTAAGATAATCATTATTTTTTCTCGATCTGAGACTATCTTGGTTTCCCTTTGATTATTAAATAACATATTTACTCATATAGGATTCTAGGTTACCAGTTTTCTTTTTTTCAACTCTTGAAAACTCTTGGTGACATACTTCTACCTTTTATGATTTTTAATAGGCAACCGTCATTTTAATGTTTTTTTCCCTTTAGAAGTAAGGTGTTTTCAGTGGCTACTTCTAAGATTTGGTGTTACTGTTTTGGGGGTTTTTTGGTCTTTAATTTTCAGAAATTACAGATTTTTTTTTTTTTTTTTTTTTTTTGGTTTTGGGTATTGAACTTGGGACCTTGCGCTTGTGAGGCAGGTGGTGGCAGTACTGAGCTAAATCCCCTACAGATTTGTTTTTAATTCTATTTGCCTTTTACTAGGCTTCTTGAATATGGATTTCATGGTTCTTGCTACTTGGGAATTTTTCTGTTATTATTTCCTAAAGTACTTTTTCATCTCCACCCTGTTTCTTCTCTCTAGATACTCCAGTGATATGAATGTTAGACCTTTTGTTGTGTTCCCAAGCTCTGATCATTTTTTTTTTTTTTTTTAGTTTGTTTTCTCTGTATTGTTCAGATTGGGTTATTTTGATTGTTCTTTCTTCTGGGTTAGTTATTCCTTGTTCTGTCTCCTTTCTTTTGCCATTGAGACCATCCATTGAGCTCTTTATTTTGATTATTGTATTTTTAAGTTCTAAAAACTTTGCCTGAGATTTTCTGTTTCTTAGTTGAGGCTTTTTTTCATTTGTCTCAACATGTTCATAACTGCACATTGAAGTATTTTTTTTTATTGTGGCTGCTTTAAAATCTTTGTTGGCTAATGATAACATTGTTGAATTCTCAGTGTTAGCCTGTATTGTATTTTTTCATTTGGTTTGAGACCATCTAGAGGACTAGTTTTTAATGGCAACATGGACATCTTATATATAATGAGTCTTTGCATTTAATTTTAACTTTCTGAGTTAAAGTATTTTGCTCTGCCACTATAGACTGTGGAAATCAGTCTGAGGAGATACCTCACAAAACTAAGATTAAAGGTCCCATTGACCCACCTATTCCCCTGCTATATACCTTCCCAAAACAATTAAGAAAATCATAACAGTGATATATGTGCACCCATGTATATAGCAGCACAGTTTGTAACAGCTAAAACTTGGAAACAGCCCAATTGCCCATCAACTGGAGACTGGATAAAGAAGACATGTTTTTTTAAATTATATAAAATGGAGTACTACTCAGCAGTAAAGAAAGAGAAACTAGAAACATTTATAGCTAAATGGATGCACATTGAGGCCGCACTCTTAAGTGAAATAAATAGAACAAATGTGTAAATACCGAATAGTTTCTCTGGTATGAGAAACTGAAAGTGTAAATAAGGATCAAAATGTATAATAGATAATGTGAAATAGGAAGAAAAGATTCAAAGGGGAAGGAGGAGGGGGAGGGGAAAGGAATAAATATAAGGTAAGGAAAAACCAAAACAAAGTCTTTGTAAAGAGGGAGAGGTGGAGGGGTTAAAGGGAAGGCAGGGGAATTAGGAAAAAAAAATAAGAACCAAGATATATCTGGTAAAGGTACAGATTCCCAATGATGAATGTCATCATATTGTATACCAAAAATGTACCAATAAACTTCCTGAAAAAAATTTTTGCTCTGACAAGGAAAGTGGAAAAAGATCATCTTATTACTGCCAGGTAGGGTAATGAGACCAAGGTTTGTGTTACTACCCAGGGTGGGGGACTTCTCATTCCTCTTGGATCTGAGGAAAATGTCTAGCTCCCTAGATAGGCTTCACTAATACCTCCTGGCTGGGAAGGATAGCAGTGTCTCTTTACTGGTTCCCAATTAGACTCTATTTATGTGATTGTAGAAAAGTTACGGACTCCTCTGGATTTTCTTTGATACTATGCCAATAGATAAGGAAGGTTTGCCTCATTACTTATTTATAGGAGAAGAAGTCTAGGCTTTCCCTATAGTCTCCATTGATACCAAAGTGTGGGGGAAGTGTGTGAAGGGAGCATTACTGCCATCCTTCTGGAGTGGAGGCCTTGATGTCCTCTTTATGGTTTTCTGGCATGTCCATGGCTGAGGTGGTTAGGGTTGAACATGGTGCCTCATGGCAGATTCATGATGTAGAAGCCTGGGCTTCCCACTCAGCCTTCACTGAAGTGAATAGAGGTAGGATCACAGTGTTTTCTGAGTGTATATTTTTTAAAGGTGTTCTATTTTGCTAGGCTGCACTTTTCGTGGTCCATTGGCTAGAGAGGACTGGCTTTTATTGGTTCTGTTTTGCAATGCCCCTGCTGGTATTTTGTGGTTGTCCTTTAGCTGTTGTCTGGTATGTATGAGACAAAAAGGAAGGCCAGGGAGCTTACCACAGTGTTGTGTCTAGAGCCCTGGAGTTCACAGTCAGTCTCCTCATCTTTCTGAGCCGTCTTATGTTTGCTTTAAGTGTATTGTTCAAGACTTTTAATTGTATTTAGTAAGAACAGGGAAATTATGCCTATTCCATTTTCTTAACCATGTATATTTAAAATAAGCATTTACTGTCCCATAATAAAAGTAATCTTTTGGGCTGGGCATTTGACTCAATGGCACCGTGCCTGCCTTGCAGGGGCAAGGTCCTGAATTTGATATCCCCCCCCCGTACCCCCCGGTACTAAAAACAAAAAAATCAAAATAAAATAAAAGTAATCTTTCTTTGAGAATAGTTCTGTAAACAGCCTTTAAAAATGTCGCTCATGATGTCATGACTAACTTGACAAGGGTTTCTGATTTTATTTTTCTTTCTTTGCAGTGCTGGGGATTGAACTCAGGGCCTTGTGCATGTTGGGCAAATTCTTTACCACTGAACCACACACCAGTCCATGGTTGTGAGATTTAAAGTACATTCTAAGAGCTGGAAAGGCTTTTTTTTTTTTTTTCCTTTCAGTATTGGGGATGGAACCTAGGGACTTGTGCATTCTAGGCAAGTGTTCTACCACTGAGCTGCACTTCTGCTTGGCGGGGGTGGGGTTGTCATTGGCACTAACTAACTGAGCTGCACTTCTATTTGGAGGGGCTCATTGGCACTACTCCAAAGAAGCTTGAAAAACCCATACCAGTTCCCCAGATGGGACCCTTGCTGTGGCTTTAGGGGCAACAATAGTAATCACAGATTCAGAGGGTGCTGGATTGATGACAGCTCATTAATTTCTAGTGATGTTAATACATATGCACGTGCTTTGAGTGAGACAGAAATTTGCAATAAGTCAATTGGACATTATATCTAAACTTTTTAAAAGTATGTTGTATTACTTTTAATGAAATATGTCCCATTTTCTAACACTATTATATATGGCATTTGAAAGGCCAAAGGAGTAGAGGGAAATATGGATACAGAAGGAAATGCTGCTTATTTTATTACAAAAAGAATGTACCAAAAAGTGAGAGGCATAGTGATCAGGTATTTTGTGAGCATAAAATAATACCTATTTTATTGGATCCTAAAAAAAGGAATATTTAAGTGGATACATTAAACCACACTCTATAACAAGTGTATGACATGCAAAATCATTTTTAAAGCTCAGAATTGACATCAGAAAAGCTCTATTACATTGATCTGAACTAATGATGCCCAACCTGGTCATTACTGCACATATCATCATAACACACATTCCTCTAAAGTTCATTTTTTTTCTTGAGTTAGTGAATAGAAATGAAACTAGAATTAAAACTGCTCCCATCAGTAGTATGACTGATAGCCTAGATCAAGGTGAACCTAGAAATATTTTTCCCAAATGATCACTAACTCTTTAAAAGAAAAATTAAAATAGTGAAATGTCAAAATGCTATCTCTTAGACATTGTTCTTTTATGGAAGTTATTATAAGTGTTAATAAAAACTTGCTTGTGAATATTCATCAGATAATGATTCTTATTTTGTAGCTAGACATTTCAAAGTAATAAATTTTTTCCTTTTTTTTTTCTTTTAGCTCTGTTGGCCTAGCAAAAGCAGCTCTAGAGGCAATTAATGGATTTAACCTTTTTGGCAACCAGGTAAAAAAAAAAGAAGTCTTTGATTATTTGAATTGCATGTTTAATTAATTTTGATATTATTTAGTAAAGTCATTTCATCATAATTATTAAATATCTGAAATATAAGTAGCAGTCTATGCATGGACAGCTTTTCCTTTGAAAATGATCTGCCAGTTAAATTTTAATTTTTTTGCCAAAAACAATTGTTTTAAACATCTCTTTATAAATAATTCTAATGTTTTGGGTTAATAGCTTCCTCAAGTTTCTTACCTATTTCTTAGGGACTTCATTCTTTTTTTAATATTCCTGGCATTATATATTCCATGTCAATTTTCATATTGGTTTCAGTTTAGTATATGCAATGCAGAGGGGAGTTTGTATAATGTATGGAGTCAGATAATAGGGAGTTTTGATCTTAATTTTACCCTTTACTATATGTAATTATTTATCTTCAATCTCATTTATCTGGGGATAAAAGGAAAAGCCTAAGGGTCACCTTAAATTTTAATAAAAATTTTAACCAGTTTTTGCATGAGAAGAAACTAATCAACTGCCATAGATTGAGTTGTCAATGGAAGGAAATAAAATATAATGGTTGCTATTCTGGGTCAAGAAGTAGGCTACTGTTTTAGCAGTTTTTATAGAGTTGCCAAATGATAAGGCAATATGAAATTTCTAATTCATATTATAATTAACCTTAAGGTATTAAAATACTAAGTCTATGAAGATGCATTTTAGGAAATTACACAGATGTGTGGCAGTTATAATACTGTGTATCTGGAATCTTGAATTTAAGAAAGTTTCAAGGTGTAATATGATAGCATGACTTCCTCTCTTCCTTCCCCTCCCTACATATATAATCTCATCTCACCCCAGCTTCCCCTGGAGGATGGGTTCTAGTTATAACTAGGATATGAGGAATGGCTACAGACAGGATTGGGAGGAGAATAATGTCTTTTCTGGGTGCACCAGAATTATCCCTGGATCATCCACTTCCTATATACTACTGGATGGATGGATGGATAAATAGGTAGGTGGATAGGTAGGTAGGTAGGTAGGTAGATAGATAGATAGATAGATAGATAGAGAATTAAAGAATGGCATTATATTATTAGTTAAGACAGGATCACTATATGCTCTGTACCAAAGTTTCAGCTTCCTCATCTAAAAAGGTAGAGATAATGATAATAGGATCTAACTCAAAAGTTTTTCAGTCAAATACAGTGTGCCCAAAAAATGCATACATACTTCAGCAGTTTGCCATACTAATAAATGTCTGGAAAGTAATGGCTACCACTTTGAGCACCTGTTATAATTGTAAAGGCCAAAGGTAACTTTTATTAATCTCATATCTCAATAAATTTAGTATTAAAATATGTATTTACAAGTTTTTCTTTCCCTGATGTATACATGTTTTTGGTGGACTCTGCATAATATGGCAGAAGTTTGGTAAAGATTAAAACCTCAGTAAATGTTATCTATTGTTACTGTTATTAATGAAATATAAGTAATATTAAAGTGGGGGAATGAAGAGATTGAACCAAAAGTCCTATAGAGAGTTATCTCAAAGACACTGAAGAGTCATGAATTATGTAATTTAGGGGTGGTACAGTTAGTCTGAAGAAGTACAAAAGTACAAGTCTGAAGTACAACTCCTGTGAGGATGGCTTCTGTGGCATACTAAATAGAGAACTGAATGAAGTTAAGTGACTTTAAGTTGACTGTGAACAATAGTGTCCAGCTTTTATTTTGCAGTCATGCCATTTCATTTAATGTAACCGAGCCTTAGTACATGTTACTTTCATGTCTTTAGGTACCTCCTACCTCTGTATACACCTACCTACATACACACAGTTACCTTTCTTAACTCTCCATAGCCTTCAAGGCATTGATTTTCCCAGGAGGCTGTTATAGGTTGCTTAGCTATAATTCCAAAACAACTGAATTTGTTTATTAGGACTTCTAATCCTCAGCCAGTTTTTCAGTCTTGAGTGCACATTGAAATTATTTGAAGAGCTTAAAAAAATACTGATGTCTGAGCTTCTCCCCCCCAGGGATTCTGATATAACTAGTGTAGGAAGAAACCTTAGCTTTGAGATTTTTAAAAATTGTTCTGAAATTCTAAAGTGCAGCCAAGGATGAGAACAGCTATTCCAAGCAGAGTTAATTTTTGCCTTGTTTAGGTTATATCTGTTTCCAACATAGCTGTGCATCAAATGTTTGCTAAATGAACCATTATTTGATTATTTCAGATAGGAATATAAGTAAATAACATCTTATTCCTTAGCCATACAAATATTACACTTACAAGTAGAACCTCTTCATCTTCCATTGTCACAGTATAGTATCAATGTCCTAGTTTTACAAATTCTCTTTTGTCCTTTCATCTGATGAGGAATATTGCAGAAATCTGATTTTTTTTTTTCTTTTTGGTGGTGCTGGGTATTAAACCCATGTGTAGTAGAGAAGTGCTGTACGATTGAGTTGTACCTCCAGTCCCAGAAACCTGACTTTGAAAATGTTAATATCCCCACCTCTGTACTAGTTCAAATGATAATGTGCCTGCTAAACAGTGGGACATTTTAAAGTGCATGATCATCTGAGTATTTAATCGTTTTATATTACTCCGTATCTTTAAAGAGGTGTGATCTTACTAAAAGTCAGTGATAGGGAAAAGAACTGCCATAAAATAATTCTTTTTATTCAAGTGAATACCTAAAATAACCCTGAGATTTGGGTGGGGATTTCAGGCCATATGGGAATTCATTTATTTCCAATGACTATACAGTGTTTTGGAAGATCTGATCATGTATCTTTAAGTAAATTAAGTTAGAGCCTTCAAAAAGTACATTTCCTAGATGGGATAAAGAAGATGTGGTTTTTGTTTTTTTTAATAAAATGGAGTACTACTCATCCATAAAGAATGAGAAACTAGAGACATTTATAGCTAAATGGATGCACATTGAGGCCTCACTCTTAAGTGACATAAATAGGACAAACGTGTAAATACTGAATAGTTTCTCTGGTGTGAGAAACAGAAAGTGTAAATAAGGATCAAGATGTATAATAGATAATGTGAAACAGAAAGAAAAGGTCCAAAGGGGAAGAGGAAGGGGGAGGGGAAAAGAAAGAAGGGAAAAGAATAAATATGAGTTGAGGAAAAAACAGAAACAATGTCTTTGTAAACAGGGAGGGATGGAGGGATTGAAGGGAGGGCAGGGGAATGGAGAAAAAGTAAGAACCAAGATATATCATGTAGGACCGAGGATTTAGCTCAGTGGCACCACACCTGCCTTGCCAGAGCAAGGTCCTAAGTTTGATCCCCAGTACCAAAAAAAAGATATATCATGTAAAGGTACAAATTCCCAAGGATGACTGTCATCATATGGTATACCTAAAATGTACCGATAAACTTAATAAAAAAGAAGTATGTCTCCTGTTGATGTCAACTCAAGAGAGTCATGGATCTTTGGAGATGGAAAGGCCCCTCTCAACCCGAATGGTCAGAGTTTGAAATAGCTTTTCTCAGATCACACAGCAGGACTAAGAATTAAACAAAAGCCACTCAATAATTAATCTAGAAGATCAGCTATTGGTATAGGACCTCTAGGATCTTGGATGTGTCCTTCCTTTATCATTTGAAGCTGCACATTTTCTTTGAAAACCCTCATGCCATTCTCTGGGTAATAAATATTTATCTTCTGAAGGTGGTATCCACTTTACAAATAGTGTGAAAAATTTGCCTTTTGCCTTTTTGTACTTTAGTACATTAGATAAAACAAATGTTAATTTTATTGTTTACTGGTATTTGGTGGGTGGCAAAAGCATTTAGCTTTGGTTATGATTATGTGTGCCTATATTTTCTCCTTTTTCTCAGCAGTCATTTTCCTTATTATTCAAAAGAAACATTATTTAAATCTCTGCTCTGAAACTATTTTCAGAATTTTTTTCTTTGGGATACTTAAGAATATAGTGTGATAAAATGACCTAATTTCTTTAATGATTGGTTGATATTAAAGGTTAATTTGGGACTATGCCTCATTTAGAAGCATACTCATGAGTCCTCTATAAAGGAATCATATGTTTCATCAGGATCTAAAACACATTCTACATAAATATAGTGATAAATATATTTAAATGTTATTTAAGTAATATTTGATAATGTTTAAATCAGGATTTAACAGTATAAAATGTCATGGATATAATAAGAAACAATTTTGTGATTCCTTGATTTGAGTCTAGCTCTGCTCTTCTCAGACCCTGAGAATTAATGCTGAGGTGCAGCTTACTCTGATTTTAGCATAAGAGCAGCATCTCGTATAGAGGAGAAAAGCCTTGATTTGATTGTAAGAGGGGCTGCTGGAAACAACTTCAGGGTTGGGAAGCAAAAGTTGGCTGTTTCCACACCCACTGCTGGTACAACCATGATATAAGGGAGAGTTTCCATCAGTAAATATCCTTGCTGGAAGAGCTCCCTTCTCCAGACTGTGCTGCAGAACTAAGGAGCAGCCTAATACTGCATAGGAAGAAAAATCTCCAGATTTTGGTTTTCTGGTCTGATTTGGCTTTCAGAATGAGATATACTGACTTTTTATTTTTTTATTCTAGGTGAAGGCAGAAAGTTCGTTAGTTTAGACTCAGACAAGTGATTAAAACACAAAAGAGGGGCTCAGATAATATTTCAAATAATTTTCACTTTTAATTGAGACCGTTGATAAGATGGTACCACTAGCCCTAGGAACCATCTCAAAAGTGTCTGTTCTGGTCATGAAGATTGAGGGTAGAGGTGAAAAGTGTGAGTATGGTCCTTTGCTATCATTGAAACTCATGTCCCTGTGACTGTGGTCAAGTGCAATCATCTCATATGTTTACTAGAACAAAAACAATTATAAAACTCCTCTTGGAGAGTAAAGTTTGAGCTATAACTTATAAAATATCCTGTTTTGGTTGAGTCAGGAGATTAGGGCAGGAAATAAAAGGTGAAGATCAAATATCCAAAGTTAATCAGATACTCTAAAGTGATGTATACCTATAAAGTAGCCTTTCATATTCTTGCTTTTGATTGGTGAACTCAAGATACTAACACATAAGCTGAGGCCAGAGTCTAAAAGGTGATGACTAGAGAGAATGCTCATATTATGCAAAGTGCTCAAAGTGATGCAGACAGCTACTTCCTTTGAAATTTGCAGGCCTAAAATTAATGTGTCTGATGATTTAAAGTAGACGATAATTAATTCGATATGTGCACTCTCCTTGATGACTTTTTCTAAAGACTTGCTTTTGAATGGGAAATAGCGGCCCACGACCTTAAGTAATTTTGCCCTCCTGGAAATCTGGACCATAATGCCTAAACCATGACATTGTTTGTTTTTGAAAGAGGACAGCCCAACAATATAAAAGACTAACCTTTAATCTCACTGTTAGAGTAATATTATGAGATTAGTTTTCCATTCGGGCATATTTCTTAGAGCCTAACAGACCTTAATTGAGACCTTAATAAATACTTGATGAATTTAGATTATTTTTGGCCAGAAAAAAAAAGTTGGCTGTTTACATTATCAAATAATGGAGAGAATTGCCAAATTTGTCATTTTACTTCATTATATATAAATTATCCTATTCAGATTGTATCTTTTAAAGAGTCAATTTCAGATGATTTGGCATGTAATTAATTTTATTAATTATTAGCCTCAGGATAAATTACAACTCCTATTATTTTGTGTATTCATAGGCTCCTAAGATAGTATACCATTTATTTTCTGAGTGTTTTGTTGTAACTATTCTGTTTGCTTTTATTTCTCCAAAAATTCAGATCTTAGATTTGGTCCTCACCTTCTCTGCTTCTCTAGGGACTCATTATAATCATTATTCTTACATATAAGGTACTTACGTGGTGCTTAGTTGCACAGTGCCATGTACGTGCCATGTGTATTTTTCTTTAATGATTGTCTTGGACTGTATATTACCTGAGACAGTTCCTTGAGATCACAGTTCAAACTTTGTTTGTTTACCACAAAGCAGAGTGCACAGTACTTTAGCCGCTACTTGGTAACACTTTGTTGAATGAATAAAGATGGAAGATTGGAACTCGCAGTAGGAAGAACAGTGAAGCATCAGTCAAGTTGTTGAGAGACAGCCTCCCTCATTTCCTTCATTTACATGATGGTATTAATTTACTTCCTGGAGTTACAGATATTTAAAAAAATGTTCCAAACAAGAAGTCACTCTGGAAGCTAGTACTCATATATGAAAGAAAGTTAACGGGAAATATATACAGCTAGTGAGTCTGATATTTGGGAGTTTGGTGCTATTAGATTTGAAGTTTCAGTCTAGGTGATTAATATGAGGTATGTTTAGTTTTCAGGGTAAGTGCATCTTTGAAGATGATGAGAATTGGAATGAGGTTTAGAAAGTGATATAGAACCAGCATGAAATGTATAATAGTTCTGTTTCTCCACACCTGTTTTTGACTATTCTCTTGTAGTGGCAGCAGTCTTTGTATTCCCATTTCATTCTGTGTTTTCAAATATTAAACTGTTCACTAAAAGAAAGTCATGTTTACTTACAACTGTGCTGTTGAATATGGAAGGCACTAATGGGTAAATGGTAAAAATATTTTAGTGTCTTAGCAGACCAGTTGATATTTTCTGTTATATGTGTAGTGTCTTGTCTTGTTTTGTTTTGTTTTGTTTTGTTTGTACCGTGGATTGAATCCAGTGCCTTCACACTGAGCTACATTCCCAGCCCTTTTTTTTTTTCATTTTCAGATAGGATTTCACTAAATTGCCCAGACTGGGCTCCAACTTTCCATCTTCCTGCCTCAGCCTCCAGGATTACAGACATGCATTACCATACTTGCCTATCTATCATTCTATTTCAGGTTTTTTGTTCTTATTTGACATACTTTTTTGTTTCTTTTGGCATGATAACTGTATAACCTAACCATGAGCTTTTGTGTCAGACTTGATTTTATACTCTTGTTCTGTTGAATTAAAGTTTAGTGTCCTTTTCAGTAAAATGGAGATAATAATACCTACCTGTGGGGATTTAATTAGATAAGCCGCATGAAGTACAAAGTTCAGTGCCTCACAGGTAGTGAATAATAGCTAGGGTTGTTTACATTATTATTGAAATCTCTTCATATTTTAATTCATAATTCTAGATTGTATGTAAATTTGTTTAGTTTGATCATATAATCCACATTCTTTGTGAAAATGTACTAAAATTTATGAATCCAAATATCTCTTGCTTTATTCCTTTTTATATTAAACTACCTATATTTGTATTTTCATTAAAATAAATGTAATTATCTTATAAAATTATTTGATTTATAGGAAAACCAATTAAAAAATGTAAAAATAACCTCATTATAATTATATGATTAATATAGTTATTGAAAGAAATTTTAGAAATACTGAAAATATTTTAAAAAGAAATTTAAGATCTCAGTAATCCCATACTCAAATGCAGTCAGTGCTAGTATTTTTGTGAAATTTCACACAGTAAGAATGCCAGATGGTTTACAAGTCCTTGAAATGTGTTTCTGTTTCTCATTGCAGGGCTGTTCATGGTCAGTTATATTTGTGGATCTTGATGCTCACAACCGCAACCGACAGACTTTGTGCTCACTGTTACCACGAGAATCAAGATCTCATGTGAGTTGTTTTCACAATAAATTACAATGAACTATCACTGACAGTTTTATATAGTTTTGTATTAATTTCCCAAGAAAGCACTCAAAAATGGTAGGAGTCATTCAGAAAGATCAGAAGACAGATCTGCTCCTCTCCCTGTGGTGGCCTCTGGAAATGCTAGAAAGTGAAACTTGTGGGTACATCTATGTGGTCCTTTGAGTCTTTTGTAAGACAGTAGAAAAATTGACATTTTTCTTTTTGGAAAGAAGCAACATTATGCCAAATGAATCATTTTTGTCATGGAATGTTAGAAAACTACATTTCATCATTTACACAATATTGCTTTTGAATAAAATTTCCTTCCTATTTCTTTTCTCTCATTAGACTTATATTTTTTCTTTTGCTGATGAACTTGTATGCTTATTGTACCTTATGGCACACTTTTCTCGGAATTACTTTGTGGGTCTATTCTTTTAAAAATACCCAAAACAGAGTAACGTAACTGTTTAAAAATAACTTTTATGAAAATAATACAGGATTATGATAAGGAAATATAAGACCATAAATAAGCATCATTTGTTTATTTAATAATATACCATCTCTTTTTTCTACCTCTCAGATATAATCTTAGGGTGACAACATTTGGCAGTACATGTTTCTACATGTTTTTATGCATATATATATTTTAAAAAAAATTTTTTTTTATTTTACAAATCTAGAACAATATTGTTCATAATGATTGTTGCTATAGGTCTATGAATAAACATTTTGTTACTATCAATAGATCTGTTCATATCAATAAGGAAACTTCTACCATATATATTTTAGCTTTGTGCAATATAAATTTTAAGGCTGCAAATTTACTCAACTAATTTTTGCTATTTTCACTTTTACAAGCAAATTACTGTGACAAACTAAGTTGTGATAATTATTAGTGTTTTTGCTAATGGTACTGGGGATTGAATCCAGGGCCTTTGCACTGAACTATATCACCAGCCCCTTTTCCCTTTTTTAAAAAAATATGAGACAGGTTCTGACTAAGTCAATAATTTGCCTAAGCTTGACTTGAACTTGCAATCCTCCTGCCTTAGGCTCAGCCTCTCAGAGTGCTACAGTTACAAGTGTGTGCCACCCTACTTGGGTAGTGTTAAGTTTTTACATGTTGCTTTAATTAATATTTTAAAGTTTGAGCCCAGTGTTGAACTTTGAAAATTCTCTTTATTAATGAATAAAGTTTTATCTCCTCTGTCAGGTTCACTGAAGCATGACATAGCATGAAACATTTGTCTCATGAAGCAGCAAAGTCACTGTCAGTTGGATAACCTCTTTTGACTTTTCATTTCTAAGATTCTCCTTGGGCTGTTTTGATCGTG